TGTCTGACGACATGTCCATATGAACAGGATCCTTCCATCTTTTTCTCGGACTGGGACCTGTTCATATATGTTCTTGGCAGATGATCCAGAAGTGGTTTGCCATTGCCTTCTTCTGTGTGTGAATGGAGTAATTGTTGGGATGCCACGGAGGAAAACTCCGTGTTGCCTAGACCACGGCCTTGCCCAACACAAGTTATAAATTCGGGCAAAACGCTTAAAGTTTCTAAACACACGGAAGTAAACTTCAACGATGGGACATGATTCTGAAATGGCAAAACATAATATATGAACAAGCTTCATGACTGGAAATGGTTTCTAATCTGCAGACAAAAAAATTATGTATAAGCCCGCGTGCATCACTCGGTATAATTAAAAAAAATAATTACCTTCTAAACCAAATGTTTCATATTAATTTGTGATCAATAAAAGTAATAAATGAATACACTTTTTAATGAACATTTTGTATTCTGTGAATCTGTTTCCGATAGTAAGTTAAAACATTGTTAATAAACTGCTGTAAAATATCTGTAAATTTTAATTTGTTAACTGCGACATTCTGCGAGTCGATAGGAAAGAATGAATCGATAAAGAACTTTAGATGTTCAGAACTCCTGCCTTATACGAAAAATACCAAATTTCCCCACCCACGGGTACTCATAATTCTAGAAAATTCTACCGTTTCTTTCAGTTTATCGCCTACGAACACTGTTAATATCCGGAGACTTACATTAAACAACTTTCTCCCGACTCATCAAATTTGTAACTTAATTTATCACTTCTCTTTCGAGAGTAATTAACAGCCTTTTTGCTAAAACAGCGGTGAAATTGAGTCTTCTTCGCGTCAACCAGTCCCCGGGGCAGTGACCTGACCTCTGCCTTGTCAGGGTCACTAAACACCCGCTGCGCGTTATTGATGGGGACCCCGACCCTTGAGATCAGCAAAGGGAACCGATCATGTCGTTGTTGTGTTGTGTTTACGCAGTACAGCACGTCATCTAACCCCCTCCCCCTTCCTGTCGTCTGGTCGTGGGTAATTAACGCAGTAGTTAATGAATCAATCAGCCAGTCATCTGTAAGCCTAGTTAGTACACAGGTAAAGTACGTGACAGTTCGGATTCTCGCGACACCAAGTGTGGGTTGTAGCCTTGGTAGAAGTTTACCGACGTTTCGGAGGTCTTTGCTGCCTCCGTCATCAGGGCGTTAAGGCATAAAGTGCCTCTAAAACGCAGGCTGCACGGTGCAACAACCCAGAAGACAGGCATCTTCGTGTGGAATATGGATGAAATAAAAATTGTTCTCAACCGGAACTTGTCTTTTTAGGAATAATTTTTTTTACTTCTGAGAGCGTGTAGTGAATAATATTCAGAGTACTTTAATAAGTTGAAAGTGTTTGGAAACGGAATTCAAAAAAGAAAAAAAATCAAGAAGGTAACGGTTTGCGGATACTAATTCGGGTTACATTAATAGACAGGGAATTTCTAAATTATTTTAGCGACTATCAGCTTATTAACGAGTGTTCTGTTTCGTGGTATTAATTACGGTTGTACAAATGCACAGGGTTCATTGTAAAGCGACATTACTATGTACTTTCTCTGCATCCCTTGGTTCGCTCATTATATATATATATATACACCACACACAGAAACATAACTTGACATTTGAATTTTAAACCATGTACGACTCCCTCAGAAGTTTCAATGCTTCGTGTTTTAAGTTTTGCCTTTGCTTGTAATTAAAACCCGAAGCTTTGCGTATGGAAATGACTGAATGGGTACACAGGAGACGTATCTAGTTCAGTATGTGTAGATTAAATTATACAAACACTTCGTAATTGTTATTATTTTAAAAACACTTTTAATATCACGAATTCGCGCGACCTCCTTTTAGGCAGAAAGTCTGCGTGCTCCTCCCATCAGGTACAGAAACCTACGATGCCTCATTTTTTCTAAAATTCACATGTTACGTAAATTAATGATCCACGTGTTTTGTACTTTTGATATCACGTTCTTGCGGGGATGATTACGAATATGGCGTTTTTTTTGGAATGTTTCACCACGCAGTCTGGTAAAAACTGACCTACGTTTCATAGCTGCCTATTTCCTCCGTTATCAGGTTGATCGCCTTGATGATGGAGGCAGCAGGGACATCTGAAACGTCGGTAAACGTCCACACGGCGTGATAACCCAGACGACAGCCATCTTTATACTCTTAACTAGTTACAGTGTCGTTAAATAAATATTATTGACTGTAATAAATTTAAAAATGCAAAATTGTTGTTGAGCGTTGCTGGTACGTGTAGTTGATGGGGTCGTGTTTAAAATGAAATACCCTGTACAGCCACAAAGTTACATATGGATTGATTGGTTTCGAACACCGGTATTCTACAGTCGCCTTTCCAATTGAAATAAACTCAAATTAACGTATTCCAAAGTCTTGTAGCAGCGTGGTTTTATTACGGGCCATTAAAGTTTATATAAACTTCAATATAATCATTTCTGCGCGGTATATATCGACTCCTCTGAGTTGATGGTTCTTGTGTATCCATGGTAATTGCGCTGCATAAAACACACATTTGGTTACTTTATCACGCACTCGCCCTGCAAACATTTCCAGGGCGCAGTTTACAGTTTGCGAGTTATATATATGGAATGGAATCGTATGCATAGTCAATGTAGCACGCACCCACATGCAGCCAACGTTTCTGTGTAAAAAAAAAATATATCCCCATCCAAGGAAATATTATTTATTTACAGTTTGATGTAGTTCTGCAATTTTGGTGGTCTTAAAATCGTCCAAACCA